ATTATTTGTAATGGGGCCCAAAATATATAGATCCTTAAAACTTTAACGAGAATGGATGGGATTTTTTAAGTCGAGCGAAATATAGATTATGATTCAGCACTCACATAACACCACAGCTGATAATGAAGACAATCACCACGCAACACCGATCAGCTGTTGGCAGTCTCATCACAGCTTACTGATCTTCGAACTGTGAACAAATATTCTTGATGCAAAGGCTGCAGTGCCTTCGAAACCCTAAAGACTTCAAACTTAGGTAAAAACTTTTGAAAGACTCCTTAGTACATCTTACCAAACCAAGCACCGTAGGCTAAAAGATCATTTTTTTGTCCAAAATGTGAATGTTCAAGTCCTTATAAAATATTAAACATTTTAACGAACTTAAAATAACGAATTTAACTGTATTTAAACCATCGGCTTAAAAACGCATTAAAAGAAACCTAAGCAAAATAAAGTTGGGTTCATAAGTCAGCACACGAAAAACAAATTGTTTATAAAAAAAAGTAAAAATAAACATTATTATTGTGTTAATTAAATCATTTTTAGAATGTACAGTTTATTCACTAACTAAAATGTAATTAACTGATCTTGCTAACCAAACGAGCGTGTTTACCACAAAATTAAGAAATTTTATAACTACTTGTTAAGCAAAATTAACACTTTGCTAAAAAAAATACTTTAAATTTTTTGCAGATAAACGTAAAAATCCGTGGTTGTTATATTAAAAAATTCTGAGGACTTCATAAAAATGTCGCATCTATTGCAAAAGAATACCTATTAATATTATATGAAATGTTGAAATAAATAATTCTCAAATTTAAAAGGGGCCCGTTCTCACTTAAATGTTTTTTTCACAAAAAAAACGATACAACAAATATTTTGGTTTTTTAAAACCGGTATATTCGTTTCTCAGTAACAACGATTCAAACATTTTTAATCAACGAAGATTAATTTGCCGAAATCTACCAATACTACATCACTCCCGCCCCCGCTAACAATCCTTTCGCTCTCTTAACTATATGAACTCAATATTCTGTGACGTCATAATCGACAATTTAACAACGAGTAGCTCCTAAATTATAGGTTCGATTTAAAAAGTTTTTGATGTGTCGATTGATATTGACCGACCATATCGTAGTGCGACTTGTATTTGTATAGAGGATATAAATAATTATAATAATTAATGCGTGTATCGCCAGAATCTGAACAACAATTTGTCCATAGTTTGCAACGCAGTGATGGACACATTTCTGACTATATAAAGTATGTTTATTCGATCTAGACTTGTACGACCTACTGTCCTTCTGTCCGTTTCTACGCAAAACGCAAGCTATTTAAACAAAATTTTAAAATAGGTCAGAACGGTCCGGATCGGCCTACTATATCAGAGGGTATTAGAGGGTCAACAGTTTACAACGCAGTGAAGGATACATTTCCGACCCATTATATTATATATATTGATCAGTATCACCAGGAGAGTTGATCTAGCCATGTCCAGTCTTAAAGCTATCTGCTTGAAACTTTCTCAAAAGTTGTCTTTCTTGTTTATCTAAATGTTTAGATATTCAATTAAGCTCTTAAATGTCATTCCATTTTAATTGTAAAATCTCAAACGGGTGAATTGGGAAGTGCATCATTAAATTCTAATTCACTTTTTTCGTTAAACATGGAATGTTTTGTGCAGTTTCTAAGAACATGCGTCAAGAATTTATTCTTAAAGTATCTTGGTAGTCGTTTGGAATCGAATTTTACACTGATTCTGACATAGTAAGCACCTACTCCAATTTTAGGTCAAACTATTTTGTGCCCTAACTATCTTATGGGTATAGTATATTAACACAGGTTTGAAGTATTTATTCCTATTTATAACGAAAAGGATGGCTCTTTTGAAAAAAAACGAGGACGGAAGCTAACTTCGACAAGCCGAAGTTTTAATACCCTTGCAGACTTTGCCGAAATTGCTAAAAATAAAAAAGAAGCGAAAGGAATAAGGTATATTGTTCCTATGGGACCTATAGGATATAGACGTCCGATCGTCACGCGCTTTTACCCTAATCAAGGTATGCATAAAAAATACGATTTGAAAAGATTCATGTCAATTGCTTATACTGTGCGAAATATCCTAAAAATCATTAAATTTTAACCGATTTCACCCTATTGTTCCTATGGGAGCTATAGGATATAGACGTCCGAGCGCCAAGCGCTTTTACCCTGATCAAGGTATGCATAAAAAATAAGATTTGGAAAGATTTATGTTAATAGCTTTTACACTGCGCGAAACATCTTCCATTCTTGCAAGATATGGGAGATATAGGATGTAGACATCCGATCGGGATCTTGATCTGCGTACACATGTTTTAGGACGACTGTGAAAGTTTCAGATCGCTAGCTTTTAAACTGAGCTCGCAAACGGTATTGAAACAGACGGACGGACGGACAGATGGACATGGCTATATCGAATCCTCTATTGATCCTGATCAAGAATAGATATACTTTATAGGGTCGGAAACGTCTCCTTCACTGCGTTACAAACTTTTGACCAAAATTATAATACCCTCTGCAGGGGTATAAAAATAGCTGTGCGTCATACGAGATTAGGCCAACACAAATAATATAAACATAAAAATTCAAAACCTTGTTTAAATTTATTTAATTAAAGAGCTCAAACGGGCCCTGGTTTTTAATTATTTACGTCTTAAGTTTTCTAATCAAACCTTTTTTTATTAGAATTTAAAATCATTTCCGCTTACTTGTATAGTAAATTAATACAGGTTTGAAGTATTTTTCCCATTTCTAACTAAAAGAAAGCCTGTTTTGCAAAAAAATAGATGTGCGTTAAACGAGATTAAGCCAACTCAAGTATATATGTAGCAAACAAATTCAAAAAGATTTTCAAATAAATTTATTTAGACAGCTCCAACGGGGCCTGGTTTTTAAATATTTACGATTTACTTTTATAATCAAATTAAAATTTTTATTAGAATTAAAACCATTTCCGCCAAACTGACCGCGGGGCGGAGCCGTGTTCAGTACGGCACGATTCGCGAGAAGATAGACGAAAGATATAAAATAGAGGTAAAAATCCGGGGAAAAAAGTAAGATCTAATTTTGTGCTAATGAAGTATAGTTTAAGTGCTCCAGAGAATAAAAATTTGAGATAAACTTGGCACAGAAAAGAATAAAGTTGTAAATAAAGACAGTATCAAGCATTGTTTTACTGTTTGGTAATTTCACACCACCTGGACCTTTGTGCTCAGCAATATGTTAACGAATTATTTAAATTGATACATATCAAATATTATTATTATTCTCTGGGTAACAATATTGTAACATTAAGGGGGTATATACCTTTTTCATTTTCAAAAAATCGAAATTTTTTTTTTTGCTTTATCTTAAAGAACAACTTCTTGAGAATATTTCCCAAAATTTTCATAGAGATTTGGGCAGTAGAAAAAAAGTTACAGCGCTCCTAGCCGCGCGACTCGTCCCCGCCCAAACCCAAACTTGAAACTTTAAACGCGAATATCTCGAAATGGTTTTTTTTAAAAATGACTTTGCGGTGATATGGATTAGCGAAAAACTACTGAACCGATTTTCTTCAAATTTTTTTTTAAATGTTCGTTTTTTCATGTAAAAATTTTTATTTCGCCGAAATAGATAGTTTTGTAAGAATTTTTGCGTCCAAAAACGTCATTTTTTGCATTAAACGTTCCCGTATGCACAAAAAAAAAATTTTAAAAAACGTTCGTTCAAGTACAGGATACTACTTTAAACTAATGAAATATTTTTATTTTTTCGGTATCAGTTGACCCATTCGTCCTGGGGAAACATCACCGCAAGGCTCTTTAAAAAAAGGCGTTTAAGGGAAACAGCCACACCTTAAAAACTATTAAATATTTTTTCAAAAACTTTTGCATAAACATTGTCAACAATCTAAACATTCAGAAAATATAATCATTCATTTAATAAAAACAATAGTTACATACATAAAAAAATCCAAACTTTCCTATTTTTTTCAACAAAAAAAGGTATATACCCCCTTAATGTGCAGGCTACTTTACATATTTTTAAATTGATTTTTGTAAGTATATTTATACTTTTTTTGCTGAATTCTTTTTGAATTCTTCCTGACAACTTTTAATCTGATTTGCAACGAACTTAACCAAAAAGTAGCAAGATAAGAAGAATATAAGAAAATGTCTACTTAAATTTTGGGCTTAAGAATAATTGTTATCAAAATGTACTAAAGGTCTGTGTCGTGGTCTTTTGGTCCTCAGACCAATACCTTCAGTTATATAAAAATCGGATGACTATATATATATACATATATACCATATACATAGTTGCCAAATTTACCGTATAAATTTATGCTTTTTACTTGCACATTAAATTTTCCAAATCGTTTTTTTTATGATCTTGTGAAAAATTTTGCCATGTGAACAATCGGGTAAAATTTGGTAATTTACTGTTGTATTGCATAATTCTACGTAAACAGCAATCTCGTTACAATCTCAAGGCTTTTTGTTTTTATATGATGGCTTTAAATCATTTGCGATCCATCTCTTGAGTTATATATATATATATCCTAAAGCTTTGTGTGGAGATCTAGTATCCCATCTGGCTGGACCTTCCCATACTTTGCAGAATGAAACTCAGCCTGGTGCTGCTGATTAATATTCATTCTTATATACTTTATAGGGTCGGAAATGTATTTTCCATTGCCAACTTTTATATGAAGTTCCCTTTGCTAAATTAGAATTGATTATATATGGGATATATCACTTTTGTTGTAGTTAGTGAGGGTATATAAACTTCGTATTGGGGAAGCTCGCTTTCTTTTTATAAGAAGAAAATCCTTTGCGGTTCATAAGAAACGACGTACCCTAAAAAAGTGAAGCTCACCCGATTTTATTCGATGAAAGAAAAGCCACAAATTGACGCAAAATATCACACATTTTTATTTATTTCTACCATTTCTTTGAGAATAATGTTCAACTTACCAAAATATTGGTCTAGTGAAGAGCTTCGACCATTTAAATGTAATGGGGCCCAAAATATATAGATCCTTAAAACTTTAACGAGAATGGATGGGATTTTTTAAGTCTAGCGAAATATAGATTATGATTCAGCACTCACATAACACCACAGCTGATAATGAAGACAATCACCACGCAACACCGATCAGCTGTTGGCAGTCTCATCACAGCTTACTGATTTTCGAACTGTGAACAAATATTCTTGATGCAAAGGCTGCAGTGCCTTCCAAACCCTAAAGACTTCAAACTTAGGTAAATACTTTTGAAAGACTCCTTAGTACATCTTACCAAACCAAGCACCGTAGGCTAGAAAGATCATTTTTTTGTCCAAAATGTGAATGTTCAAGTCCTTATAATATATTAAACATTTTAACGAACTTAAAATAACGAATTTAACTGTATTTAAACCATCGGCTTAAAAACGCATTAAAAGAAACCTAAGCAAAATAAAGTTGGGTTCATAAGTCAGCACACAAAAAACAAATTGTTTATAAAAAAAAGTAAAAGTAAACATTATTATTGTGTTAATTAAATCATTTTTAGAATGTACAGTTTATTCACTAACTAAAATGTAATTAACTGATCTTGCTAACCAAACGAGCGTGTTTACCACAAAATTAAGAAATTTTATAACTACTTGTTAAGCAAAATTAACACTTTGCTAAAAAAAATACTTTAAATTTTTTGCAGATAAACGTAAAAATCCGTGGTTGTTATATTAAAAAATTCTGAGGACTTCATAAAAATGTCGCATCTATTGCAAAAGAATACCTATTAATATTATATGAAATGTTGAAATAAATAATTCTCAAATTTAAAAGGGGCCCGTTCTCACTTAAATGTTTTTTTCACAAAAAAAACGATACAACAAATATTTTGGTTTTTTAAAACCGGTATATTCGTTTCTCAGTAACAACGATTCAAACATTTTTAATCAACGAAGTTTAATTTGCCGAAATCTACCAATACTACATCACTCCCGCCCCCGCTAACAATCCTTTCGCTCTCTTAACTATATGAACTCAATATTCTGTGACGTCATAATCGACAATTTAACAACGAGTAGCTCCTAAATTATAGGTTCGATTTAAAAAGTTTTTGATGTGTCGATTGATATTGACCGACCATATCGTAGTGCGACTTGTATTTGTATAGAGGATATAAATAATTATAATAATTAATGCGTGTATCGCCAGAATCTGAACAACAATTTGTCCATAGTTTGCAACGCAGTGATGGACACATTTCTGACTATATAAAGTATGTTTATTCGATCTAGACTTGTACGACCTACTGTCCTTCTGTCCGTTTCTACGCAAAACGCAAGCTATTTAAACAAAATTTTAAAATAGGTCAGAACGGTCCGGATCGGCCTACTATATCAGAGGGTATTAGAGGGTCAACAGTTTACAACGCAGTGAAGGAGACATTTCCGACCCATTATATTATATATATTGATCAGTATCACCAGGAGAGTTGATCTAGCCATGTCTAGTCTTAAAGCTATCTGCTTGAAACTTTCTCAAAAGTTGTCTTTCTTGTTTATCTAAATGTTTAGATATTCAATTAAGCTCTTAAATGTCATTCCATTTTAATTGTAAAATCTCAAACGGGTGAATTGGGAAGTGCATCATTAAATTCTAATTCACTTTTTTCGTTAAACATAGAATGTTTTGTGCAGTTTCTAAGAACATGCGTCAAGAATTTATTCTTAAAGTATCTTGGTAGTCGTTTGGAATCGAATTTTACACTGATTCTGACATAGTAAGCACCTACTCCAATTTTAGGTCAAACTATTTTGTGCCCTAACTATCTTATGGGTATAGTATATTAACACAGGTTTGAAGTATTTATTCCTATTTATAACGAAAAGGATGGCTCTTTTGAAAAAAAAAACGAGGACGGAAGCTAACTTCGACAAGCCGAAGTTTTAATACCCTTGCAGACTTTGCCGAAATTGCTAAAAATAAAAAAGAAGCGAAAGGAATAAGGTATATTGTTCCTATGGGACCTATAGGATATAGACGTCCGATCGTCACGCGCTTTTACCCTAATCAAGGTATGCATAAAAAATACGATTTGAAAAGATTCATGTCAATTGCTTATACTGTGCGAAATATCCTAAAAATCATTAAATTTTAACCGATTTCACCCTATTGTTCCTATGGGAGCTATAGGATATAGACGTCCGAGCGCCAAGCGCTTTTACCCTGATCAAGGTATGCATAAAAAAATAAGATTTGGAAAGATTTATGTTAATAGCTTTTACACTGCGCGAAACATCTTCCATTCTTGCAAGATATGGGAGATATAGGATGTAGACATCCGATCGGGATCTTGATCTGCGTACACATGTTTTAGGACGACTGTGAAAGTTTCAGATCGCTAGCTTTTAAACTGAGCTCGCAAACGGTATTGAAACAGACGGACGGACGGACAGATGGACATGGCTATATCGAATCCTCTATTGATCCTGATCAAGAATAGATATACTTTATAGGGTCGGAAACGTCTCCTTCACTGCGTTACAAACTTTTGACCAAAATTATAATACCCTCTGCAGGGGTATAAAAATAGCTGTGCGTCATACGAGATTAGGCCAACACAAATAATATAAACATAAAAATTCAAAACCTTGTTTAAATTTATTTAATTAGAGAGCTCAAACGGGCCCTGGTTTTTAATTATTTACGTCTTAAGTTTTCTAATCAAACTTTTTTAAATAGAATTTAAAACCATTTCCGCTTACTTGTATAGTAAATTAATACAGGTTTGAAGTATTTTTCCCATTTCTAACTAAAAGAAAGCCTGTTTTGCAAAAAAATAGATGTGCGTTAAACGAGATTAAGCCAACTCAAGTATATATGTAGCAAACAAATTCAAAAAGATTTTCAAATAAATTTATTTAGACAGCTCCAACGGGGCCTGGTTTTTAAATATTTACGATTTACTTTTATAATCAAATTAAAATTTTTATTAGAATTAAAACCATTTCCGCCAAACTGACCGCGGGGCGGAGCCGTGTTCAGTACGGCACGATTCGCGAGAAGATAGACGAAAGATATAAAATAGAGGTAAAAATCCGGGGAAAAAAGTAAGATCTAATTTTGTGCTAATGAAGTATAGTTTAAGTGCTCCAGAGAATAAAAATTTGAGATAAACTTGGCACAGAAAAGAATAAAGTTGTAAATAAAGACAGTATCAAGCATTGTTTTACTGTTTGGTAATTTCACACCACCTGGACCTTTGTGCTCAGCAATATGTTAACGAATTATTTAAATTGATACATATCAAATATTATTATTATTCTCTGGGTAACAATATTGTAACATTAAGGGGGTATATACCTTTTTCATTTTCAAAAAATCGAAATTTTTTTTTTGCTTTATCTTAAAGAACAACTTCTTGAGAATATTTCCCAAAATTTTCATAGAGATTTGGGCAGTAGAAAAAAAGTTACAGCGCTCCTAGCCGCGCGACTCGTCCCCGCCCAAACCCAAACTTGAAACTTTAAACGCGAATATCTCGAAATGGTTTTTTTTAAAAATGACTTTGCGGTGATATGGATTAGCGGAAAACTACTGAACCGATTTTCTTCAAATTTTTTTTTAAATGTTCGTTTTTTCATGTAAAAATTTTTATTTCGCCGAAATAGATAGTTTTGTAAGAATTTTTGCGTCCAAAAACGTCATTTTTTGCATTAAACGTTCCCGTATGCACAAAAAAAAAATTTTAAAAAACGTTCGTTCAAGTACAGGATACTACTTTAAACTAATGAAATATTTTTATTTTTTCGGTATCAGTTGACCCATTCGTCCTGGGGAAACATCACCGCAAGGCTCTTTAAAAAAAGGCGTTTAAGGGAAACAGCCACACCTTAAAAACTATTAAATATTTTTTCAAAAACTTTTGCATAAACATTGTCAACAATCTAAACATTCAGAAAATATAATCATTCATTTAATAAAAACAATAGTTACATACATAAAAAAATCCAAACTTTCCTATTTTTTTCAACAAAAAAAGGTATATACCCCCTTAATGTGCAGGCTACTTTAAATATTTTTAAATTGATTTTTGTAAGTATATTTATACTTTTTTTGCTGAATTCTTTTTGAATTCTTCCTGACAATTTTTAATCTGATTTGCAACGAACTTAACCAAAAAGTAGCAAGATAAGAAGAATATAAGAAAATGTCTACTTAAATTTTGGGCTTAAGAATAATTGTTATCAAAATGTACTAAAGGTCTGTGTCGTGGTCTTTTGGTCCTCAGACCAATACCTTCAGTTATATAAAAATCGGATGACTATATATATATACATATATACCATATACATAGTTGCCAAATTTACCGTATAAATTTATGCTTTTTACTTGCACATTAAATTTTCCAAATCGTTTTTTTTATGATCTTGTGAAAAATTTTTCCATGTGAACAATCGGGTAAAATTTGGTAATTTACTGTTGTATTGCATAATTCTACGTAAACAGCAATCTCGTTACAATCTCAAGGCTTTTTGTTTTTATATGATGGCTTTAAATCATTTGCGATCCATCTCTTGAGTTATATATATATATATCCTAAAGCTTTGTGTGGAGATCTAGTATCCCATCTGGCTGGACCTTCCCATACTTTGCAGAATGAAACTCAGCCTGGTGCTGCTGATTAATATTCATTCTTATATACTTTATAGGGTCGGAAATGTATTTTCCATTGCCAACTTTTATATGAAGTTCCCTTTGCTAAATTAGAATTGATTATATATGGGATATATCACTTTTGTTGTAGTTAGTGAGGGTATATAAACTTCGTATTGGGGAAGCTCGCTTTCTTTTTATAAGAAGAAAATCCTTTGCGGTTCATAAGAAACGACGTACCCTAAAAAAGTGAAGCTCACCCGATTTTATTCGATGAAAGAAAAGCCACAAATTGACGCAAAATATCACACATTTTTATTTATTTCTACCATTTCTTTGAGAATAATGTTCAACTTACCAAAATATTGGTCTAGTGAAGAGCTTCGACCATTTAAATGTAATGGGGCCCAAAATATATAGATCCTTAAAACTTTAACGAGAATGGATGGGATT